TGAAATCCCCCTAAGTTCTTTGGTTTGGGAGCTTTTGTTAAATACGTTTTACAATGCCTTTCTCTTTCTCCACCTCCCTTAAGCTTCAGCAAAGCCAAGAGAGGAAGGCTTCTGTGGAACGTAATTGCATGAGTAGTTCTATTCGAAACAACTTGGGAAACAGAAGGATGTAGTCAAGGGTGCACAGATGGAAGATTGTAACAGCTCAGATTTTAATGGCCATGCTGGTCAGATTTTCGTTGCTGTATTCAGCATGTCTCACCAAGAGGCTTAATGGTGGTCTGTAGTCTCTTCCATCCGTCCATCCAAACAAAGCATAAATACAATGTGACTCACAGATAATGGCCACAGCTGCAGCTGCAGGCTATGTCACCCTCAGCAGCACTAACCCTTTGCCTCAGGCAGCATATGGACAGTGACAGGCTGATCACCCTGATGATGAAGAACTGGGTAGACTGAAGATGCCTTTGAGTTGTCTCGGCCCTGGTGCCTCCCATTCATTGGACGGCTTCTGTCTCCTTTGCAAGGTAAACTCAAGTCGGATCCGAAAAGGTTCCAATTTTGCTCAGGGAGATTATTCATATTTTCGAACTTTTTTGACAGCTGACCAATTAAAAACTAGATGATGCCATTAACAAGCTCTAAATAAGCCAGGATTTTGAGCAATAGAAAGCACCAAAGTCACTACAGTCTCACCACACGCAGCAGGAGCTCGAGAGAAATTCAAAGATAATTACAGTTGATGTTAGTGGCCTCAGGGGTACTGGGCAGGACTCAAGTCATTAACTATGGGGCAACAAATTCTGTGTTTTATACATATCTCCAGTGAGTCTTTTATGTATCCACTTTCGGATTTTCTTTTTGGTCCCAAAATTTTTGAGATTTTCTCCAATTCCAGTTAATGATGTCCTCTGACCCAATATCTCTAGCTTAGCTATCATCAGCACCTTAATCCTTTTAATTATTATAGAATGTTTCACTCTGTCTGAGCACTGTGCCTGGGTGAGGCAGTGTGGCCAATTTCATGTGTAACTTAGACAGCATAGTTGAGTCAATTTTCTGTCCGATCCCATTAACCTCTCGGCCCATGAGTGGTGAAGCTGGGCTACGTGTGCAATGAGAAAGCTGCATGGACATATTCCTAAAATCCACCTAAGTCACCATTTTGACAAAACTGTCGGAGCTTTCTCATGACTAATCATGACATAAAGAGGCTTGAAGCAAACATGGCTTGCCATGTTTCTGAGCCCAATAATTCTGATGATGAACATGTTAAGTGCTTGGCCTTCTATGAGCACAGTGGATTTGGATAGCAATGGGGATGCTTTTATCTCCCTGTTTGTGCTCTTAGTTAACTAAAATACAAAACTCATTTCTCATGAAGAGCGCAAACCCAACAGGATTTTTGTTCGGTTTTTATTTTATTTTTATTTTTCTCTCATATATTATATCCTAACCACAGTTTCCCATCTCTCTCCTCCCCACATACAAGGTTTTGAGCTGGCAGTGAATCTTTACTTCTTAGCATGACATGTATCTGAACCAACCTGTGCTGGAGGCTGCTGGACTTCAGCATGGGGTGGGGGTTACTATTAAATAATGCATATTCAAGAGGTTTCCCATAGCACAGCGTGCCGCAAATTGCTTCCATAAGCATCAAGCATACAACTACGAGGATCACAGCGGCAGTGCTCTGACTAGAGTTACCCTCGGGAGGACATAGCTGACACATCCACAATGCTGGTAGCAACACACAGAGACCCAGCAATACACACCACGTGAGATCAATCAAGAAGCAGCTGCAAGGTTTCATGATAAGCGAAACTTGGGGATTTTGAGGCGAGGAGAGGAAATAGGTCTGTAAGCAACATTTTATTGTGTTCTTATCAGAAATGAGAATGTCCATAAACTCTGTGCTAACAGGAAAATGACCCACACGAAGAAGCCACACAAAGGCAACTACATCCGTTTCTTATGCTGAAGAACTATGTCCTTAATGCTTCAGCTCTCTCTTCTCCCAAGAGCTTGCAGTGTTGAAATTAGGGAAGCCCCCAGAGTCACATCCTGCCAAAAAACACTGGGACAGCCCAAGTTTAAAGGATGCCAGACACAGAGAGTTTCCATCCAGCCCTGGCATTTTTACAGTCACTGGAAAAATTTCAAAATAGCTTCTGATTTATTTCAGGCTGTCATTTGAAACTAAGGCCTAATGCAAGTCTCACATCCACCAGGAGCCAGTCACAGTACAAGACTCACATCCACCAGGAGCCAGACACTACAGTCTAGATCCTCACTGGGTGGGAAGGGCTCTCAGTCTCTCCTTTCTCTCCACACAACAGTTTCCTGACATCTGCTCCCTTCACACTGAAACTCAAAGCCTTCACAATTGTGTAGCTCTGTTTTCCATCATTAATAGATATTTACTAAACACTCTCATGTGCCCTGCACTGCCTGGGTGCTGAGGATAAAGTGACTACAAAGTAAACATGAACCTTTCCCTTAAGTTATTAATATTTACTTGTAGGGGAAGAGTAAGCAATATCGACCACGTGCCATTTAAAAATGTACATTAAAAAATATGTAACTTTCTGTATTCTTATCCTGAGTTCCATGCAAATCTCTACAAAAAAGGAAGAAGGAGTTAGAAATACAAGCAAAGAGGACTCAGCATGGAGCTAGCTCAGCAAACATCATGCTTGCTTAATATATGCATGGGGAACTGGCTTCAATCCCCAGTTCTTCATAAACCAGGTATGGGGATGCATGGCTGTTATCCCAGCACTGGAGATGTAGATATGGGAGGATCAGAAGCCAGCCTGGAATATCAAGATGTGTGTGTGTGTGTGTGTGTGTGTGTGTGTGTGTGTGTGTGTGAAGATCTAGCCCCTGCTCTCACTTCTGTACCTCAGCCACACCCATCTCTCAGCCTGTACTCCAGAGACCAAGGCTGACCTCCCTTCAAGCTTCCCAGTCTGTGGGATTCTTTCTAGAGCGCTCTTGCTCAGAGGTCTGGAGTACCCCATCTCTCAGTGCGGTCTACACTGCAATGTCACCTTATCTAATCCACTCTTCATAACAAGTTACTTTCCATGCACTCTTGTCTCTTTCTTCTTTTGGAGCTTTATTCTTTCCCAGTGATGTTTATTATCCCCTGTCACATGACATATTGAGACTTATTTATGTGTTGTCTATTGTGATAGTTAATCCTGGTTGTCAACTCGATTGGAGTTAGAGGTACTTAGGAAATGATGGGACACCTCCGGGTGTGTCTGTGGAGGGGATTCCAGAGAGGATTAACCAAGAAAGGAATCCAGCATGTAAGTGTCTGACACTGTTTCATGGGTTAGTGACCTGCACAGGACAAAATGGAGACAGCAAAAAAGTGTCAATGGTGTGCCTGCATTCTCCTTTACCTTTGTTTCCATTGGCCAGAAAGTGAGCAGTTCTCTCAAGCCCATGACACCTGCCTCAGCAGCCAGGGACAAATGACCAGGGATCAAATCAGGAGCCAAAAGAGTTTTTTCCTTCCTTTCTTTTAGATATTTTATTCATGGTGACAAAAAGTAACAAACACACATGGTTTTCTCCATTCACAGTCATACATGTGAAAATACACACATTCATCTCTCTTCACATCCATATATTCGAGAACAAAAACGCCCAAAGTTAGCTGAGCTGATGCTCTGGGAAAAGGTTAGGCAGAGAGACCAGCATCTGGGAATTCCAGAAACAGGACAAACCTAGGTGTGCCAAACCATGGACAGTAAGATTGGTGGGTTATTCAATTTCACTAGGTACATATGATCTGGCATACAAGCAGAACTAATCCAAAAAGCACCATCATTTCCCAAGTCTTGAAGTAGGATCAAGGACAACAGAGGTGCAAGACTGAAGACTTTAAGGTACAGAAGTAGGACCCAAGCCCTGTCAGCAAAGCCTCTGGTTGAAAATCAGGTCAGAAAATCACCCCCAAATGTAGCATACTTTTCTCACAGATTTGTAGAGTGATTTTCTTTCGGGGCAAGGTGGGTGGTGATGGTGGCATATAGAGCAAAGATCATGGACTTCTACACTGGCTCTTTTCTTTGAAGTGCTGAGGACAGGAACCATAGCCTTGTCTAATTTAGACAAGTGCTCTACCACTGAGCTACAGCCTAGCCAAAATATCATCTAGTTATAGAAATTATACTCAAAAATCTATCTCATGTCTATGAGCAAAATCCTTCTAGATTTCTAGGAGATACTTTTCCCAATATTCATAGTTGAATTCTCTGTACTTGGTCCAATTTCCTTATAACAGAGCTGTGATGTCACATATTTCTAACAATTTTAAATTTAGTTTTCATTGAAACAAGTTCATTTTCAACTTGATTCTTTATTGGCTGCATAAATGTTAATTACATTTTATAATTGTGAAAGCAATTACAACCTGCATAATAAACAGGCTCAGGAAAAAATGTAACTAGCTGCATGAAACATACAGCCTGTGGGAAGAGGGTTGTTGAGGAACTGGTATTCCATCATTAGCTATGCCTCTGTGATATTTTCTCTCAACACTTGATGTCTGAGACTCGAATCTAGGTTGACTCTGTTATCCAAAAGATGTAATATGCACTCTTAAACGAGCTCTTAAACTATTGAACAAATAGTTGCTCCTAGTTAGTGTCCTTAGCTGACATCCACTGGCTTGCTACTTGGAATTCAGCATATGCAAAACTCTTGTGCCAATTGTCTCCATCCACCACAACATGTTTTATCTGATATGGTTCATGGTTTGTTTACGTTAGTTTCAACAGAAAGATTTTTTAAAACAAATGAAAGGGGGCCAAGGATAATATTGACCTTAATGATCTCTCCTAGGGTCTGGGGAGATGGCTCAGTTGGTAAAGTGTTTGCTGAAGGAGCATAAGAACCTAAGTTCAGATCCCTAGCACTTACTTAAAAATAAGGAGCTTTGGTAGACGCCTGGAATCCATGGGGAGATGGAGACAGGAAGATCCCTGGGGATTGCTGGCCAGCAGTCCGGCATAATTTGCGAGCCTCAGGTTCAAGGGGAGAACCTGTTTGGAAAAAAAATGAGCTGAAATTGTGGTAGAGGAAGACATTCAGTGTTGACTGCCAGCCTCCTCACACACATGTACACATGAGCACAGGCACATACATGAAGACATATACACATATATACACAACACACACAAAGGACTTCATCAATATTGAACGAATGGTTGTACTCACAATCATCCTTAGCTGACCTCTGTCGCTGCCTGTTTTGAGCTTGGCACTATGCAAAAACACTTTCACCCATTGTCTCAATTTATCCTCATAGCATTTTTTTTCCCTTGAGGGACAATCACCAACCCTGTTATTTGTAGACAAATCAACTGAGGCTAAGAGAGCTACTTAGCAACTACGACCAGCTAAAATCTATTGCTACCCCCATTTCTTTATCCTCCAGACTGCCAGATAGCCTGGCTTCATTCCCCACTCCCCCCTCACTGAGCCCTTGTGATATTTTTTTTACTATCACAACAGAAAAGTTTTTTTTAAAATCACTCTCTCCACCCAAAGCAACCACAGGAATGAACAAGACTGAAAAATGAAGTTTTTTCAAGAACATACAGAGTGTCTGGCATCATCCTAAAATCCCAACCAAGGGATGAGTTGCAGGTACCACACATCAGCAGTCTTGAGGAAGTCCACTGGGCCACGATGTGCCCAAAGGACATTTTGTCTAAAAGTCATAATGAATTGACCTCTTCTTACTTTGGGACTAAAACTCAAATTTTATTACATCCATTGTACTTAATGGGACTTTTTAGTTTTAAAAAAAATGAATAAAGCGAAAAAATGAACAAGGTAAAACATTAAGAAGTAGCCATGAACAACTTCTAAGACACTGTTAATTCAATGCCCAGATTCATCAAAGGTTAAAAAATGTCATTCACTGTGCTTGTAGTTTTATAATAGATTAAATAATACAGTCATTATAAATTGCTCCAAGGATACAGAAAAGTGTGAGATAGAAGAAGAAGAAGGAAGAGGAGGAGGAGGAGGAGGAGGAGGAGGAGGAGGAGGAGAAGAAGAAGAAGAAGGAGGAGATCAGAGGAACAAAATCCCCAACCCAGTGACAAACACATTAATTTATATCTCATATTTGAAGTGCACAGATGAGGTTGTGATGTCATACTTATTTCTCTGTAAATAATAATCTCAGATTTCACCTTTGTGGAGGATGATGTGCAGGTACCAGGCATCATCTCCTGAGGGTGTTTCGGGAACACCTTCCGCAAATCCAATTAAAGTCAAGCAAACACTATGATGCAGGTTTAACTGCGTCCCATGTCAAGAACCTTGGTATTTAAACAGCGTGACTCATACTCTTCTCTTGTGAGCATCCACATATACTTTCCCAATAGAAGCAGCTTCACTTTATGCTTCTACCATATAATTGATCAGGGTTTAATTAAATTGAATTCTATTGATTTATGGCAGTGTGCTAAATTGAGTTGAATTAAAGAAGAGTCATGTGGGAATCACTGAGTGGTTGCTAACATCTCTCTATTCTGTGACACTGTGGTGCCTTCAGCATTGTGGTCATTATAATAGAGCAGAAAGATTTATAATTTTTAGAGACAACAAATCCCCTACAAGTCTCTGTCCACAATGGTACTATTTCATTCAAATGTCCAAAGTAAACAAATTATGCTGCCATAGTTTAACTTAATTTTAACTTGAAAGTTAAATCAAAGCAAAAGAACTCCCTTTTATTCATTTATGTGTATATATGTATATATATAGTTTTTATTTTGAGAATCATATCATAATCTGTGCCTAAAGTTCCATTCCTCTTATGACTGGAACTTCTGCTACTAAATATTTTAAATATAAAAAAATCTCCTGTTAGGAGATCTCAAGAAGTTCCAACTAAGATTATTAATTGTTAAGCATTTATGACTTCTCACTAATGAGTTCTTGGGCATCATTGAAAATCTTTTGTCATTCTGGTTCTTGAATGGAGAACAAAATGATATTATTTTGTACTCTTTTAGAGAGTACAAAAAGATAGCATCATCCCAAATAACACAAAAGGGGGTTCTGTCATGATAATCCCTAAAGTAGCACTGTTTATACAACAGAAGGTTTGCAAAGAACTTTGTGATTTTTTTTTCCTAACTACTTTCACAGCTATGCGATTTTTAAACTTCTGTCTCAAAACGAAAAGCACAGGTCTTTAATATGTGACATGGCAAGGCAATTGGTCTGTGTTCTAAGGTGGGCTTTACACTTGAAACATATTCTACTCTTCAAAAATAAACAAAGAAAGTCAGATGAGTCCTACTAGAAGGCAACTTCACTGCATAAAATGGGGTCTAGAAGCAAAATAAGATAAACCAAAGCCTGTTCTTTGTCCATAGAATAAAAAAAAAAAGCAGGAGAGAAATTATAAATCCCTATGGCTGGTAACTTGCCACCATCTGGCTCCCATAAACCCCCAGGAAGAGGAGAAAACACTTCAGGTGCTAAATGGGACAAAGGTTATAGCCCATATGTCAGAAACCAGCACATTCACAAGTAGGCACACCCACTTTTACAGTTGTTTGCAGATGACAGCAGGAACAGTTCATTTGGGCTCACTCTCTTCTTGACTAGGGTCAGAATCTTGAGTCTGTTCCAGGAGCCCAGACACAGGACTGTATTTCTCAGCCTCCCTTGAAGTTAGATGTGACTATGTGAAGATCTGGTTAATGACACAGAACCAAATTGTTTGTAGTGTTTACTGAAGAGTTCCTTACATGGCTGGAAATGAGCACCCCGTTCCCCTCTGACTTTGAACATGAAAATACAAACCCTCTCTTAGAGAAGGCAGATCAGAAAAATCAAGAAACTCAAAAGACTCCTGCTAGTTTTTTATTTCTCACCTCTGTGGCTAGTTTACTTAACAAAGAAACTTTTTTTTTCTTTTTTACCATTTATACAACTGCTATCTGAGAGTACAGTGCTGTTTACAAGGAAGCTAATCTGAACTAATGCAGATTAAGAACACAGACAGATTTATATAATGCCCCAGATGTATTGATCAGCCAATGTTTATACAGACTAATGAAAAAATAGTGCCCAAAATTGATTGTGTAAGTCAGCAGAAGAACGCGGCTGGGGTACAAGGAGTGCCAAGCAGAAGGCTATGAGAGGAATGAAATCCCTCTCCCTCCAGTGAGCTTGAACATAGATTCCAGAAACTTCTCAAACTGAGGAAACTCTGTCCACATTATCAGTTTTTTGGACCAAGCCCAATCTGAGATTTAATGCATGAAGTTTCAGCAAAAAATAAATAAATTAATAATAATAATAGTAATAATAATAATATTTACTCTATCCTTCTTCTGATATGTGCAGAAAAGGCTTCAAGCCCTTGCCCTTGAGACAGGAATATATTGTAAAAAACGGACAGTAAATTCCCGCAACTCTATATCCACTGAAACTAGATAGACTTGAACTTCTTCAGCTGCGCAGGTGCCGTGAGTATATGCATGAAGAGGCTCTGTTCTTTGTGTGTAAAGTCACTGTCAGCCTCTTTTTTCTGCTTCAACAAATGGAACAGATGATACCCACAATGTGAACCACTCATGGGCTTGCCCACGGTAAGAAGAAACCCCCAGCTTGTTAACCACACTCTGTCATTTTTTATCCCGCTCACACAGGACTTAGAGTAGAAATGACATTATTATAAAAGATGTAATGAGGTGACAGCTTTGAGTTTGTTTTACATAGTTATTAAATAATACTGAATCTTCATAAATAACTGTTCTTATTTGGAGTATTTGTTACAATGCTGATGCAAATAACTCTAATGTTCAGTAGTAGCTTGGAGAAAACTCATTCATTTCCTCAATGATCTCCCAGCCTGGGAGAACCTTCCCTGTGTAGAAAGCCATTCACCAGGTAAACAGCTGAGCAGATTTCCTTGTGCAAATGAATACTGAATAAAAATCTCCTTAATGAGAATAATGAGGATGATGATCAGAGCCAATTATTTCAAGCTTCATAATTTGTATATTAACTAAACATTCTCATAATTAAGCAAGTTAGCCCAGGGATATAGCATTCATTACAAGCTCCACTGTTTTTTTGCTTCTGAAATTTCTGCTCTCAAACATTCCTATGAATGGGAATCTGAAAAAGGGAAATTTTAAACAACTTTAGGCTACTATTAGTCTATTATCATAGTTATAACCAGGTGTCTGGAGGTAAGCTGACCAGAGTGAATGCGAAAACAAGGTAGACTTTTCATTTCTGTTGTGTGTAGCCTTGAGGTGGGTTCATCTCCTTGGGATCCCAAGATGGCCACTCCATCTTGATGGAGTGAAAGGGAAAGGCTGGAAGCAGAGAGACTAACAAATTGAGACACTTTCCAAAGTGTCAACAAGCTCTACTAGCACTTTTCAATTCTATAGCCGTGTTCCTAAGTGTCCTGGGGTTAGTTCCAGTTGCAAAAGATTATATATAGAGGCTATAGAATCTTGAGAGCAAAGAGACAGGAGAGTGGAAATGAAAGAGTAGGCAAACCATCAACACCACCTTGTATCTTCTAGGATGCAGAAGGGTAAAGAAACACTATAATTGACAAATTCTCGAAGTTTCTTTTGAAAAATCTGCATTCAGTTCTCCAGCAAGGTTCATCAAAACTCTATTTGAAAAACAACATGAACATAAAGACACATGCTTAGCGTTGTGGACCAATGCAGTGACAAGTACCTGTGTCTGTATGGAAGCACAAGCTGGACGCAGACTAACCTGAACAACAGACAGCTGCCTGAAGAAATCTGATGAAGGTGAGGGCAAGGATCCTGTAAAAGATGAAAGAGGGTTGAAACGTCGTTTCTACTATTTTAAGTCATTCTGTTTCTTGTCTATCCCTATAGCATCGTTGTTCAATTTACTTAACCTTCTGTTTTGCCCCAGATCTTAAGATTTTATTTATTTATTTATTTATTTATTTATTTATTTATTTTTTAAAGAGTCTGACAAAGGTACCACAGTTATTCTTTTCTCCTATCTTGTCAGGGCCTCCACTGCTCTGACCAGTGTGGCTCGCATTATATGGGTTATTTAGATATCAAATGTGCTTGACATCTGATGATCAGGTAATTCCTACCTCACACATCAACAAGGACAGCAATCTTGGAATTAGCAGATTGCTATCACTTTTGTGGATGATGTTTATGACTGAAGAACAACCCCTTCTTTCCAGGAACACACAGATTATCTCCAGAGCCAGCAACAGTAAAATGTTGTTTTAACCTTAGATAGGACTTTTATATTGGTCATAAGTTCTTAATATCTGTGGAAAGAGTTGATGGAGTCCTAACTTATAATACCAAATTGTGAAAATCTAAACGTTTGTTTAATTAGAAATTTCTCAAAATATTTTTAGCCATTAGATAAAATTCAGTGGTAGGAGGAATGGCTCAGAAGTTAAGAACACTAGATGTTCTTCTAGAGGATACAGGTTTGGTTTCCTGCACCCACAAAGCTGCTCACAACTGTTTGCAATCCCAGCTCCAGAGGATCTGATACCCTCTTCTGGCCTCCAGAGGCACCAGGCACCCACATGGCACACAGAGATAGTGCAGACAAAACACTCATACACGTAAATAGGCTGTTCAATTTAAAAAGAAAGAAAATGTCCAAAAATTATTTGTTCCACCCAAAGTAAAAATGACAACTTATTGATATTTACAGTGATCCTCACAGTAATCCCAGACAGAAATTATCCAGTTTTTAAGATGAATAGAAATACTAGTTTTATAGCTTTTATTACTCTTCTGTATAAAAATGAATCACCATTGTTTATAGATTGATAGGTCAAGGCAGCATATCATAAAAAATGATTCTCTCAGCAGAACATAGTTTTAAGATGGAGAGCTTAGACTCCAGCTTTTCGGCTAGGATTCCAAAATGCTTATTTTCCATGGCAAACATCAGGATTCACCATTCTTTGCTTTGGGTAGTTATTAACAGGCACGTTAACTGTCTTTGTCCAAAATGGAATTAGAGAAAGTATCCAGCTCTGGCAAGATCCTGTGTTCTTAAACTCTCACACCATTTGTTATCTGAAGTAAGGAAATACTACCAACTCCTGCTTTTTTATCAATTAGATTGATCAATCTGAAATGTGAAGCTACATGGCGGAGCAAGTGTGTGTTCTACCTCGAGGTTACTGCATATGCTAAAACCATCATTTCCATGAAAACCTGCTATAAAGCATAGGAAGGGGGCTGGAGAGATGGCTCAGCGGTTAAGACCACTGACTGCTCTTCCAGAGGTCCTGAGTTCAGTTCCCAGCAACCACATAGTGGCACACAACTATCTGTAACGAGATCTGATGTCCTCTTTCAGTGTGTCTGAAGACAGTGACAGTGTACTCACATACAAAAAGGATAAAACAATGAAACAATCAGTCTTCAAAAACCTTCAGGGAAAACAGGTTTTTTTTTCCCCCACACGCACAAAACCAAAACAGAATAGCACAGTGGTAAAATGAACACAGCATACAATTTACCATCTTTGTTGGCCAATCTTGGTTGTCAAGTTGACGGGGTTTGGAATTGCCTAGGAGATGTAGCTCTAGGAAGGTGTTTCAAGAATGGCTTAATCAAGGACGGAAAACCCAGGCTTGGAAGTAGGTCAGGTAGAGTCCTGGAGTGAATACAAAGAGGAAAAAATTGCTTGTAAAAATTTATCAGTGTATTATAGTCCAAGCAGGTATGAACAAGCAACTATATATGTCTGTCTGTCTGTCTGTCTGTCTGTCTGTCTCCTTATTTACTCCTTCCCTTATGGTACTTCTTATATAATTCTCCTTATATAATAATTCCTTATAATACTCCTTCCATACCATGATGATCTAAGTCTTCAGACTGTGAATGGAAATAAACCCTTCCTTTCTTAAGTCATTTTGCATGGTGTTTTTATTGAAGAAGCGAGCAAAACTATCAAATATATCCTCTTAACTATTACCCAGCATCCTCCTCACCCACCTCCAAACCACTAGAGTGTTTTTACCTTCCCCGCTCGCTAAATAGCGTCTTGGACTTGGCATCCCTGCCTTCTCCCCAGGATACACTTTTACTTCCTGTCTCTGTGAATTTGACTAGTCCGTAAGTGGAATCATATGGCTGGTATTTATCCTTTCCTGATTGATTTATTGAACTTAGTTTGCCTTCAAGGTTCATGTGTGTTGTGGTGTACTCTAGAAAGCCCTTTCTCTTAAAAGCCGAACATCCCACTGCATGTGCCCACCACACTTTGTTTAGTCACTGTTTATCTATAAGTACTTGAGTTGCTTCTCTTTTTTGACTCTTGGAAATCATGTTGCTAAGAGCAAGTGGGCACAAATACCTCTTTGAATCCTTGTTTTCAACTCTTCTGCTTCCTGTGATTTTTTTTTTTTTTTGCAAGAAAGCTGAATGTGGGTGTTCATTTCATACGCAAGGGGGGAAATCTCCAGGAATAGTCGGAAAAACTTCATACAACTAAAAAGAACAGAGAGTGAGTGTGGGGCAATATAAAATAGAACTTTGCCTCTGGCTTCCAAGATTTCTATCCTTCTTGACTGGATTACTTTCCAATTGCCTTATCTGTGAAACAAGGGCATTAATGATCTGATTATCAAGTCTAAGCACTAAGCAGCTGAGGACTGTGGCTTGCAAAGCTTAAACTAAGGCGTTTATGCAGCTCCAGGACTGAATCCAAAATTGGAGGCACTGTTTTTAAAGTTCACTCTTCAAGGTGTGGATTTTTCCCAGTTGTAGAGAAGGAGAAATTAAAATTTATTTTTAAAAGCCTTAGGGTTTTTCAAAAGACACGGTTGAGGAGAATATCAGGGCACCAATCCATCAATTCATCACAGGCAGTAAGCTTTCTAGAAGGAGAAACACATTCATCTGCACACTGAAGTGCTAGTCCTCAAGATTGGCCACCACCTTGTTCTTCTTAAAATAGAGCTTGACAGAGTCAGAGGGATGGATCAGCAATCAGAGCAGAGCTGCAGAGCACTGGAATTCCAGTCCCAGCACCCACTTGGTGGCTCACAACTGACTATAGCTCCAGTCCCAAGGGACTCAATGTCCTCTTTTGGTCTCTGTGGGCAGCACACATGTGCAAAGTGCACACAAAAAATACAAGTGAGCACACACACATACACATAAGAATACATTCTACATATTTAAATAGAGTTTAACTAAAAGAACTTCAACATTACATTATTAAAATGAAGTTTTTCAGATTGGATTTTAGATTTTCAGGGTGTGTGTGTGTGTGTGTGTGTGTGAGAGAGAGAGAGAGAGAGAGAGAGAAAGAGAGAGAGAGCACAAATGTGATAATGTTGGTGTCTAAATTTTGTAATAAACAAATCTTCAACTTTCCCCCACATTTGTTGGTTTATTTTACCAAATTTGGAAGACTACTCAGTTCAAATATATTAAAAATTACAAACTTTCCCCTGTTTTTTGTAAAGAAAACAGTTTATTTATGTCTGTCATTCTATAATGTTATCAAGACATCAAGCCATCAAGCCAACCCCCTGTTCAGGCATCAAGATCGGTTCTCCTGTGCCTCTAGCCCCTGGAGGAACACCTAACCTCTACTGTCAGCCTAGAACAGTGAAAATAGAGATTGAAACTGTGTTTCTCTACAATGATCCTTATGGCAAATTCCTCTAGCCTTCTACATTTTGTGATGCCCCACAGGATGCGTTCTGGTTGCAGCTGTTATCCATGTGCCAACAACTGCACTTTTTTTTTTTTTTAGAATGTTACTAATTTTATTATTATTATTGAATCTGGAGGCACAGTTGCATTCACTATGAGGAATCTCATTAAGCTATATGCTTATGATATGTCCACTTTTGTACATTATGCTTCATTAAAAACACTTTAGTGGCAACTGCACTTTTTATCTAAAGCATAATAACACTATACATCCCTTTCTGCTTCCATTCCTGCAAAATGTCCATAGCGAGCCATTATGTTCAGCCTTTGAGCCACAGCCAGGGGATATCCTCTTAACCTCCATGTCTCAGTTTCCTCTTTTGTAACAAGAGAGTCCAACAGCAGTGCCTTTGTGCATTCTGTAAGACAGTGATGGCTGTGTAAGTGGCCTGCCGCCGAGGGTACTGGGAACCTGTCCGTGATGACTGCCATTTCGCATTCTGCACTTCTGACCCTGACCCTCTGTCAGAGCTTACTCCCACTACCTCTGCTGATGATAGAACCCACGTGTGTCTTCTAATTCCAAACCTCTTTCCTGGCTCCAGGCCCTTGAAGCTCGCCTAATGCATTCAGGCACTGATTCCACAGTCTGATGGATTTCCAAACCAAGCACTGCCCTTTCTTATCACACTCTCCCAGGCCTCTGTCCTGCTTTTATGTCCAGCTGCCCAGCATGGCTCCAACACTAACATCATTTAAGGTTTGGTCTTCAAAAACTCTCTTTTTACAACCTGACCTGAGGAGACTGGCTGGGGCGCGTGTGGCTTGGCTGCTGTCTGAAACCCCAGAAGACTGGAGCCCGTACAAACCCTCGCACCACTCCTCTCCCAGTCGGTTCTGTAATAATTTCGGGCTGAAGCCATGTCTCTTGCCTTGAATCACAGGATTTCAGCCACAGAGCCAGGAACTGGAGCCAGCTCTCGGCTTTCCCATGGTTCTGTTCTACCCAGTCAACAATAAAAGCCAAAAAGAAAAAAAAAAAAAAAGACTCAGACATTTCATCAAACCTGTCTCTTGTGTCAAATAGCATTATTCTCAAATTGTGTAAGACTTATGTAAACACTTTCGCTTCACACACTGGGTTCCATAAGTACATTTTGCTGTGTGTTTCTCACTCTGCAGGTTTCCTATGGATGGGTGTGTTAAAAAGTGCCAGGACTTCAGGCTTAAGAAAACACTTACAGGGCAGCCATCCAGTGGCATTACAGTCAGCTTGTGCCCAGAGGCATAGAGCAGATTGTAGCAGGACCTGCTGGGTGATACTCGTTCACTCATTACCTACCGAGCAGCAGTGCTAACCTCTGGGCTGATTTGCTGTCAGACTTTCGAGGTGCATTTTTGATGCTTCCCAGCTGCGAATTTCTTCCGTCTATCCCTCCTCATCACTTTGACTTTCTTCTCGGCCACTCATTCTTCACAATAGCCACTCTTTCTTCTTTACTGCCCCATCCTTTGGGTCCCTTCCTTTCTGTTAACTAACACTGCTACTGCAAATTGGCAAATTTGTTTGAAATTATGTCTAAGAGAGGGTATTCTCATTTCCAACTTCCTACCAACAGCCAAATCCCCTCACATGGAAGGAGTCTCCTTATATCTGTTGGGTATTCATAATGTGGCTGGATTTGTATTGGATTTCATATTATTGTAAGTTGGGGTTTCCTCTGACTATTACTAACTAATAATCATTAAATCAGCTTTCACTACAATAAAAAAAAGCATTAAGTTGATTATTAAACAATTTAAGGTAGGTTCACTATGACATATTGGTGCAAATTAATAGGCCATAGCATAAAAATGAAGATGCCAAGTGACTAATCAAGACCGGCTTTAGAATGCATCGGCCAATAAGACACTGTGCTAAACAAACAGACTTCCCAGCTTCCCATTAATTTTCTATCCATTATATTTAACCTACCGTTCCTGTCTTAATCTTAATGTGACTTTCCGTTCTTCAGGAAATGTACAGTTTAGCATAATTAAGAGTAAGAGTTCTTGGTGAACTTTAGTATAGGCTCCTGGAAACAGCCTGAGCCTCAGGTGAAAGGGCAAGGTGGAGCCTGAAAAATTGCGTATGTAACAGGTTCTGGGTGGGACTGGCCAGTTTAGAGACCATACCTCATTATAACGGTGAAGACTTTTCTTTTAATGTTGTAGCCTTCACCTGCTGCTTTGAATGAGCCTCTCTGTGTTACCCTTCCTGAGAATCTACTCTGAAGGTGAAAATCTTCTATTTGTTTTCTTAGGGATGTCTCATCTGTAATGAGATGGTATCTGCTGCTGAAACTGTATACCCACCATTCTCTTTTTGGTGGATCGTCCTGTAAGACCTCAGGATTTCTCCCATCCCTTGTTTTTGTTGTATTTTGTTTTGTTGGTTGTTTTGTTTTGTTGTCTGCCATTAATTTGCTGATTTTATACGCTACCTGTATTATTACTTAATTATTCATAAATGTGAGCAATTGAGTTTAAAAAAACTCTTCATCTAGGCTTACAGATAAACAGTAAATAATTGTTTTATAATTTATTTTGTATGCTGATTTTGAAAGCCCTAAGAATGATCACTCAAGGGGTCAGAGGTTGTTCTAGAAGTACTTCAGAAAGCATCAAATCATCCATGTGGTGGATGAATCCACGAAATTCTCTGCTGAGTACTTAGATAAGATCTTTTACTAATACATCCAGAGGAATGGAAAGCTTTACACACCACAGTGCTTGCTCCATATAACACAATGAATTCCGTAAGCCATACACAAGCCAATCAGATTCTGATGAGCAGGTTACTTCAGCTTCCTGCCCCAGTTTTGCTATTTACAGTCTAAGTCCATCAGATTCATCATCTACA